GGGGGAACAGAGATATGGGGAGGGGGGAGACAGACAGAGAGGGAAGAATGAGACACTGGGAGAAAGAGGGGGAATAGAGAGATAGGGAGGGGGAGAAAGAGACACAGGGGGAGAAAGAGATGGGGAGGGGGAGAAAGAGACAGAGAGGAAGAGAGATGTGGGGGAGAGACAGGGAAAGGGGGGAGAAAAACAGTGGAAGAGAAGGAGAAAGAGGCAGAGGGGTAAGAGAGACTGGGAAGGAGGGGGGAGAAAGAAACATACAGAGGGACGGGGGGAGACAAAAAGGCACACAGAAGGGCTGTATATATCACTGGTGGATCCAGGGGGGCAACAGGGAAATTGCTCCTCCTCCCCTGTCCGCAGGCACCGTGCGGGCAGGGGAGGAAGGAAGAGAGGACCTGGGAGCTCACCCTGCAGCTCCTCTGGGTCCTTCTTGCATGAGCACAGAGCGTTGCCGCGATTACCATGGCAACGTTACCGCTCTTGTGAGAGTCAACTCTAGCCCTGGAGCTACGGTCTAGTGTTCACTCTCAACACTGTGACCCCCAGGGATTCCTGGTGGTCGCAGTGGTGAGAGTGAACTCTAGCCCCATAAACACTGCCCCCACACACACACCATACACATTCACACACTGCCCCCATACACACCATACACATTTACACACATTGCCTCACACACACACATACACTGCCCACCCATATACACACAGACCCCCATACACAGCCCCCATACTAACATTGCCACACACATACACAGCCCACACACCCTACACATTCACACACTACACCCCCACACACACACTGAACCTTTCACACACATTGCACCACTGCTCCTATTCCCTACCACAGCCCCATATCCCAGCAGATCCCAGGTAAGTTGTCAAACTGTTCTTAAATGGTTTGACTACTTACTCTGGATCAGTAGTGGTTATTGCGCATGGATTATTTATTTAAATAATCTACAAGTGCCCCAGTAGCCAGCCAGCCAACCCACAGGCTGGCCAGTAGCCAGCCAGTTAGCCAGCCCACAGGCCAGTAGCCAGCCCACAGGCCAGTAGCCAGCCCACAGGCCAGTAGCCAGCCCACAGGCCAGTAGCCAGCCCACAGGCCTACAGCAAGCCACAGGCTTACAGCCAGCAAGCCATAGCCTGCCAGCCGCAGTCAGCAAGCCCACAGCCTGCCAGCCGCAGTCAGCAAGCCCACAGCCTGCCGGCAGTAGCCAGCAAGCCCACAGCCTGCCAGCCGCAGCCAGCAAGCCCACAGACTGCCAGCCAGCAACAGTAATTAAGGTAAGAGGAGCCAACTTGGCTTAGGTATCAGCGAGCTATGTTGTGTTGTTATATTGTGAATAGGAACCAGAGTGTTGGAGAGACCACCCTCCAGGCCCCATTAGACTCCATTGTAGTCTCTAATGGGGCCTGGAGGAGATTCTTTCTAACACACTCTCTAAAGGACACTGAGATAGCCTCTGCTAGAAATCCCCTCCATGGCCCATTAGCCCTCAATTGTAGTCTCTACTGGGGCCTCGAAGGGCTTATTGCCCTTTTGTTCCTTGTGTCTAAAGATTGTGTAGGGTGTGGCTGGAGGCGGTGCATGGAGGCGGGACAAGGGTGGCGCTTGCTGCAGAGTATGGGTGGGGCCTGTAAGGGGGCCCTTGATTTATTTTTCCCGGGGGCCCTGAGGGTTCTCAGTCCGCCCCTGCACACACTGCCCCCCATACCCACACACTGGGTGTATGGGGGCAGTGTGGGTGTATGGGGGCAGTGTGGGTGTATGGGGGGCAGTATGGGTGTATGGGGGCAATGTGGGTGTATGGGGGCAGTATGGGTGTATGGGGAGCAGTGTGTGTGTATGGGGGGCAGTGTGGGTGTATGGGGGGGGAGTGTGGGTGTATGGGGGGCAGTGTGTGTGTATGGGGGGCAGTGTGTGTGTATGGGGGGCAGTGTGCACAACATTTTAACTGTGAATGTCGTCATACTGTTAACTTTTACTGCAATTAAATACACATATTTGTGTTCAGCGGTTCCTTGTGAGTACAATAGTCCCTCCCTCCTCTCCCCCCCTATATATAGGTTATATGACGTTTTGAAAAGTTACAGGTTAGAATATAGTGTTTTTACATTTCCAGTTTATACACATTGAAATGTGCCAGACTGGTTTGCTGGTCCTGTTTTTGAGATCTTATGGCAGCCCAAGAATGAAAATGACCCCAATCATGTCATGCAATTTGCAAAAGTAGACAACCCAGTGTGGTCAAAATGGGGTATATCCATTATTTTTTATTAGCCATTTAATGTTAAATAATGTTTTCTGCATTTTTCACACAAAAACTGTTCTTTCACCAATGATATCATCAATAGACATTTTACTGCTCTAAAACGATCATATTTGTATCCAGTGATACCTCACGAGTACAACAGTACTCCCCGGGTACAGGTTTTATGGGGTTTTGATAAACTACAGGGTCAAATATAAGCATTGCAAATTCTCTGGACTTTCTATCTGGGTTGTCAGACAGGTCCCTCAATATATAATTAGTAAAATCACATAATTATGCAAACATTAT